CCCCACCATTTCCTGGTTCATGGAGCTTTTCATTCCCAGGTACAGCTCCTTGCACTTGCTCTTGTTGAACCTTTGCAGTTCTTGTCAGCCTGTTTCTCCAGCCTGTCGAGAAGGAGATGTAAGAGAAGGGAAGCAGGAGTATTAACAAAGAAGCAGGAGTTACCCATTTCTTTTGTCTCCACGTTGCTATTTAGAGCTGGGGGGAAAACTGTCTGCTGGAAAGACGGAGAGAGCAGCCTGCGTGCTGGTGAGCGGCCCAGAGGCTCCAGCTCTGGTGATGGATGATGCATGCTGGTGGAGCCCAAGGGCAGGCTAACCCGGGTGTAAGCATTGTCAGGGGCAATTATAGCTTGAAGGATGGAGGAAAATGTTCAGGGCTTCCAGTCGACTGTTCCATCCTGCCTTTGTGGCATGTCATCCCTGGGGTTTTTACTGGAGTTCAGGAGACAGTGAAAGCAAATAACACAACCAGAGGCTCCAAGGCAGTGCTGAGCAAGCTGGAAGGCCTGCACATACCTGGGGCTGGGCTGATGTTTGAGGTGGTTACTTCAGCCCTCTCACTATGGGCAACATTTCACTGCACATTTCCCTCCAGAAACCCAAAATGGAAAAATGTCTGGCTTCAGCTAGGCAGAATGTGCAATTCCAGCTCTCCATGGAGATGCACTGGCTCTGCTGCCCCCAAACCATCCGAAATGGTTCCAAGGAAAGGCCCTGTGCTGAAGCACCCTCAGGAAGGATGAAGTGTGTGTGAAGGGGGGGCTGTAGGGTAGAATGTTTGCATCCCACCTTCTCAAACCTATTTCTCCTCCTATTTCTGCTGACCAGAGCGCTTCCCTCTTTCCCAACCAGGTGCTCTCGGAAATAGCAGAGCCTTTGCCATGCTCTGCCCCAGTTTGGCACAGGGCTAGCCCACAGGACACACGCACCCCCTCTTTGGTGTACAACAGCAGCTGCCCCAGGCTCAGTGCTCACAAGGAGGTGAAGGCGGTAGAAGGTTCTCACGGCCCTGGAGATGTCTTTTTTTTCCCCAGGACTTAGTGCCTGGGCTCTCCTTCACAGATGGGTCATGTTAGCACCGAGCTGAGCACACAGGAGAGGCTGGGAGTGCAGCAGTTAGCACAGAAAGCGCCAGCGAGGGAAAGCCAGGCTGATGGCACGCTGCTCTGCCTGCACGGCCCTCGCTACTGCTGGGCACCAGCCCAGGGTACTTTTGGGACACCAGCTCTGAGCTCCTGTGCTTGCCCTGTCCTCGCTGCAGCTCCCTGGAGCTGAGCCCAGCTTGCCCTAGGTTGCAGCTGAGCAGGTGCTCAAGGCACAGAGGTGGGGCTGTGCCCTTGGCCACTCCTGGATCTTTCCTTTGGGACGAGCAGCAACTTTGTCTGAGGATTCCCAAAGATCCTTTTTCTCTCTCCCAGCCTCCTGCTGGGCTCGCTCAGCTGATGGGGAGGCCATGGGCCTGGAGCCAGAGGGTTGGCTGCCCCACGGGGGTGCAGGGGTCTCTGGGAGTGCCAAGACACCTCCATGCCTCCTCCTCTGTGTCCCCTCGCAGCCAATGTGCTGCAGGCGGGGAGCAGCAGCAGGAGTCCTGCAAGGGAGGAGCAGTGCTTGGTGGGGGCTGAGGAGCAGTCATGTCCCAGGCAGAAGAGGTGCACGCTGAAAATGGGTAAGGGCAGAGGACTGTGAAGAGCTGAGGCTGGGTGACCAAGGATGGTGAGGCCACGATGTTCTCCAGGGGTAGTGTATGGGCTCCTGACGTTTCAGGCAGGTCCCAGTGCATAAAGGAAGAGTTTCCATGGGACTTGGCTGAGTGGCCACTCCTCCGCTGCAGCAGCTGGTAGAGGTGGGTTACAAACTGCTTGTCCCAGTATATGAGTGATTTTGGGTTAGGGTTGGCATTAGGGTTAGGGGTTAAGTTTAGGGTTAGTGTTAGAGTTAAGGTTAGGGGGTTTAGAGTTAGGTTTAGGCTTAGGGTTTGGGTTAGGTGGTAGGGCTTTGGTTAGGGGTAGCTTTATCTTAGGTGCAATGTTTAGTGTTCGGGTTAAGGGCAGGGATTGGGTTAGTGTTAGGTTTAGACTTAGGGGTTAGGGTTATGTTTAGTGTTCTGGTTAGGATTAAGTTTAGGAGTTAGGGATAGGTTTAGGGGTTTCGGTTAAGGTTAGACTTAGGGATTAGGTTTTCATTTAGGTTGAATTTTAGGGTTGGATGTAGAGTTAGGTTTAGGATTACAGGTTTGGGTTAGGTTTAGCAGTGAGGTTTAAAAGTTTGGCTGCCATATTGTACCCAGTTTTCACCCCCATGGTGGCACTTGGTGATGGGGCAGCCAACCTGGCCCTGGCTGTTCACTGTCATCTGACTTTGAAAACTTGTTCTTTTTGTCCATAAATCACCAAATGGTTTTGCTAGTGATAGGGATGTTGGCTTGAAACAAATGGGAATGTCAGACCATCACCCGTCGTCCTATCACAACAGGCCCTGCTGGGAAGTCTCTCCCCATCTTTCTTACGGGCCCACTTTAAGAACGGAAAGGCTGCAATAACTATTCTATTATTAATAAGGTCTCCCTGGAGTCTTCTTCAGGCTGAACAACCCCAACTCTCTCAGCCTTTCCTCACAAGAGAGGTTTTCCAGCCCTCTGATCAGTTCTGTGGCTCTAATGCCCTGCAATTTACTTCGTACCTAATCAATGGCAGAAGTACTGCACATCTGCAAGGTCAATGGGGCAAGCCTGGGCTGCGCAGAATCAGTGCTCACCGTGCACCTGGCCAGCACAGCCCTTTCACAGGAGCAGGCCCAGCACCCGCTCTACCAGAGCTGGTTTTGAGGGTACATCACTGCAGCTGCCTCTCTCTTATTTCCTGTTTCTTATTTCTTTTTAGTTATAGGAAATACCCAGAGTAGGAAAAACCACTTTATTCACCATCTGCATTGCTCTGCAGCTGCGCACAGGGGAAGCTCTCCTGCTCATGGGTGCTCTGCCAAGAAGCTGCCTGGAGCAACCTGTTGTTTGTCCCCTGCTGCAGCAGAATTTGCTGTGACAAGATAAAAAGGCTCTGAAATCCCCCCAACAACCACAGCAGCTCCCGCTGCCGGCCACTGACACTCAGCACCATCCTGCCCCATCAGGCACCCATCCTGAAGGAAGCCTGTCAATAAAAAACCCTGCGGGTCCTCTCTTTTTCTCTTTTCCCAGGTATTTTTGTTGTCCCCACTTTTTCTAAGGCTTGTCCCAGCTGGAATCAACATCCTTGCCAGCAGCCGGGGCACTGCCATGACCCAGGAGCTCCAGGGCTGTTGTTCCCCTTTCAACTCTGATTAAAAATGAATAAATAAAATCAATCCTTTTCCGTGTCTGGATTCAGACAAGGCAACGCCTCTGTTGGAGGAATGCAAGGGAACAAAAGCAAATCAAGTGTAAAAGAAAAGAGCAACCCAGGGTTTCTGCAGCTTCTCAGCAAGGCAGGGCACTGGGAGGGGGTTCCTCTCCCAAGTGGCAGAGGGTCCTGGGATTCTTTCATCCGTGTCCTTTGTTTAAAGCCAAATTAAAGAGGAAAATGAAGCGAGTGGGGCTTTTCGCCACCTTGTGGTGCCTATTATTCATGAGCCCCAGGCCAGCCAGGCTGGGCTGGTACCACCAGCACCAGCAGCTCCATTTCCCATTACAAGCTAATTGTCCTTTTACTCATTAACTCTGATAGGACTTGCTCATTTTCCTTGGTATTTTTCTGCCCCTCAATCTTTCTCAAGAAGTGCTCCGCAACACAGGACACTGGGTGCTGCCCGTGTTTACAGCATCAGAGCAGCAGTTAATGCTGCCCAGACTCAATCCTTCAGTGTAGGGGCAGCTTCCAAACATCTGGTCTGGTCTCACACATCAACTTCTTCTCCAGCAGAGCCGGCCTGCGCAGGGCTCCCAGGTCCTGTCGGCTCCAGGAAGAAAATGCAATTCTGGGCTTAGTTTTGTAAAGGCACCCAGGGCAAGAATGGCCCAGCCTGCTAAAGCCCAAACAGGGGATGGGTTTATGATGATTTCTCTTAAAATAACCACATAGGAGCTGCTGAAGCCGGGTTTTCAGCCCAGTGGTCCCAGCCCTCTTCCCAAAGCAAACATTACAGCACTGAGGAACAGAAGACTCTAAGGTCTCCCCTTCAGGAGCCTTCTCTTCTCCAGGCTGACCCAGCCCAGCTCTCTCAGCCTGGCTCCAGAGCAGAGCTGCTCCAGCCCTCGCAGTAGCTCTGGGACCTTCTCCAGCCTCACTCCAACATTTTCACATCCCTCTTGTGCTGTTGCCCCAGAGCCGGATCAGGAATGGGGTGTGGGGGGGCGGGAGTGGGGGGTTCTCCCCAGTGCACAGCAGAGGGGCAGAATCCCCTTCCTTGGCCTGGTGCTCAATGCTCCAGGGGTACAGGAGCAGCACACAGGGGTTTCTGGGCTGCAAGCACATGCTGTTAGGTCCAATAACCTGAAGCATCTAATCAGCAAGTTGCTCTTCATTTTCCCCAGCACCTTTCCAATTGCAAACGTTCAACATATTGCTACAATCACCCCGTTTCAGCCTTGGCTATGTCAAAAGAGGACACCACACTACAGGTGCAACTCTGGAACAGTACATGAATGCAGTTTTGGCTTCCAAAGGAATGGGAACGGAAGAGGTTCTGCTGCATCCCACATATTTAGTGCTCTTTCCAGCTTCTCGGTCTCTGCAGCCCTCATCCACTGCTGTAACTTTGCAGAAATCCCAGCCCCAATAAGCTCAAACACAGTGGCAGCTCCCCATAAAGTAACCAAAGAATTTCTTCACAGATGATTCAACCACTGAGGCTAGTGGGAACCATCCCTTTTTCCCCATACCAAGAGGCTAACACAAATTCAGCAGCATGCCAGGCAAGTGATCGTACCTGTCGAACAGTGCTCTGCTGCATCTCAGCCCCCAGCACAGCACTGCCTCTTCCTCCGAGCACTGCAAGGCCCTGGCAGAGTCAGAGTCGGAGTGACAGGGTGATGTCAGCACCGTCATTTATTTGAAGAGGGAGCACAGCTCTGAGGAGAGGCAACTGATACTCCCATTCTGCAGCATGCTAGGACAAAACAGCCCCACAGAGAGCAAGAGGCCACCTCCCAGTACACGTCACCCCAAAGCACATCTTCCACAAGCACACAACACCCTCCCCCTCCTCCCAGAGGGAAGGGGACGGCTCCATCTCCTAGGGAAAGTCAGCAGACACCAGACATGCTGGAACCTTCACAAAAGCCATTCCCGAGGTACCGGCACGAGATCCAGGCAGGCTGAGAAGCCAGGCCAGGCCAGCCTCCACTGCCTGCTGCACACACTGCTCTGAGGTGGAACGCCGCTGTCTGCTGCTGCTTCTGTCAAGGTCTTGCAGACAGAGGTCTTGCTGTTTGCTCTCCAACCCTGCCTCCTTGGTCCCCAAACTTGCATTCCACACATCAGCCAGCAGTTAGCCCGATTTATTACAATGTAGAGCTACCTGGGAACAGAAAGGAAAAAATCCACCCACACTAAGGCCTGGCAGAGGAGAGCTTTTCCCTATGGTCCCCCCTCCACTGATAGAAAAATAAAATAAAATAAGAAAAGTAGAACAATCCTTCATTATAAGATTAAGGTCCTTGATGTGTGAGTCTGTTTCAACATGCCCAAAAACTGTCGAGCTTTCTCCTGCATGAAGAGTTGGTCTCTGGTTCCACCACAGGCTACCACTTTCCAAGCCCTGGTCATCTACAGAGGGAAAAGAAAGCAAATGTACAACACAGTGAGGGGAGAGGACAAACATTACGTCAATTTCCTTTCTTGAAAGACTGCAAAGATAAATAAACTGTTATCTGCTATCCAAGAGAAATAAAATATTTGCCTTAGGAGCACCCATCTTCCAACCGGGAAGAACTCGCACACTGCCGGTTACTGATCTCAGCTGAAGTGGTGATTTCAAGCAGAGGAAGGTTACATTCAGGAGCTTCCCAGGCAAATGCTCCATTTCAGAACAAGCCTCGCGCCCTTTCGGGCCTTGCCCCTACCTGGCTTGAGACAAAACCCACGAGCACAAACTAGCTAACGCTCCTTGTATGGAAGAGCTTCCAGAGGGATATGAGGAATGCAAGAACAACTTTGGGGTTTATTCCTAACCAGTTAAATTCCTGCAGGAGATGGTCAGCCCAGGTCCAGATTAGTCAAAGACCATCCTTAACTGCAATTTGGTGCCTTCAGTTTCAGCACAAAGGAACAGCTGAAAACCCACGTGTGCTTCAGTCACTGCATGCAGAAAGGGCACCTATGACACAGTTTTGCACTCCAGGAAAAACCTGCAAATGATCTGACAAATGCAGCCAAGAGACACAAGGTCCTGACCTGGAAATACCCACTGACATGCACTGCAAGGGACCAGAGCTCGAGCTTCAGCACTTGCAGTAAGAACAGCCTGTGCAGCCAACAGCATGGCTTTGGGTTCAGCCAGGGCTAGGTAAGCTTCCTTAATAAATAACTGCCATTGCTAGGAACACCAGTCCGGTACAATAAAACCCAAGAGCCCCACAGTACCATAGACAGCTCTGCTGTTCTTGGGCAACGGGGTTTCACTGCATATCTGTACTGTCACCACACAAGCTGCCTTACTGTCACCTTCAAGTCAGTCACAAAGCTTTATTTATGCAGACCTATTAGCTCCGAGAGCAATATGACCCTACACAGGACAGAAGAAGAAATGGAAGTGTCTAAGGAGGGCTCGAGAAGGGGAAGGAATTACTCTGGCTGAGGAGTACTTATTTGTCAGAAGAAAGAGCTTTCACAACAGCTCTAATCCAGGGACAGATGCAACCCCCTCACTGCAGTGTTTCATTAAGACGGAGCCAATGCTTTTCAGTGAAGACAACACTGCATTACAGCTCTTCCTGGGATGTGAAAATCGCCCACTCTAGCCCCCAGTTGCAGTTCACACACACACCCCCCCCCCAAGCAGAGCACATATTTCCACCCTCATTCAAGCTACAAGAGAGCCCTGATGACTTGGCCCGAGCAAACACCTGCACAATCATGGTCCAAATCCCCTTCTCTATGCTACACTGGCTAACAAAGCAAGGATACCCCACACACACTTGTGCACTCTGCCTGCAAATACTCCAAGTGCTGAAGATTTTAAGGAGAGCACGAGAAACCGTTTATGCCCCAGAGGCCATTTGTAGGCTGCTGTGACTCTAGCTCAACCCAGATACACCTGTGTGGCACAGGTAGCAGTAACACCACCAATGCCAGCATAAGCCACAAGGTGGCACACTCTACTCATCACGGGTTCAAGTAAACGGCAGGATAAAGCCAACTTGTGCTGCCAATAGTATGCAGCCTTCACCGCAACCCAGAAACACCCTAAAAACCACAGGGGTGAGAAACACGTTTTGGAGCTTCAACCCCTTGCTCCTCCCCCTGAGGAGGGGGGACAAGGGCTGCCCTAGCAGTTCACCTCTGACTGAGGGAGGAATAGCTGCAGAGCTTACCGGTGCTGGTGGTCTGAAATGGCTGGGCATTTTCCTGCAGGACATTTTCTCTGGCTGCACTTGCACAAAGGCTCTGTTGAGCAAACCACTGTCGTTCTTCCTGCTCGAGGAGGAAAGGTTTAGGGACCTCGCCAGGAAATTCACAGGCTGCAAAAACGAAAGAAATTAATTTGTCTGAACAGTGCTGATATGTGGCCTGGCCACAAGACCAGCTAACAACTCCAGCCCTTCATCCACATTCACATGTGCTGCTCAAAGGCAGCTCCAGGTGGCAAAGCTCCCACCACTCCCTTGCACAGGGTTTCACTGTGAGGGTGCTGAGGCGCTGGCACAGGGTGCCCAGAGAAGCTGTGGCTGCCCCATCCCTGGCAGTGCTCAAGGCCAGGTTGGACACAGAGGCTTGGAGCAACCTGCTCTAGTGGAAGGGGTCCCTGCCCGTGGCAGGGGTTGGAGCTGGAGGATCCCTTTAGCTTTTGGGTCCCTTCCAGCCCAAACCAGTCTGGGATTCTAAGATTCTGTGGAGCAGAAGCTAACTCTGCCCCTGCTCTGAGCACAACACCCCTCACCTGAGCTCTTTTGAAGCAGACAGTCTTGGGGAGGGCAGGCGTATTTTGTGTCATATCTTCATCCACAATATCTAGCGCCAGAGACTTCCGGACCTTCTTGATGGGACTCCTGCGCAACTGGGGGGCATAGGAAAGCAAGTGCCAGCATGAATCAACCTGCGAACTGCCATCTTCACAGCCCACGGTGCACACCAAGCTCATGTCAGCCCACATCTGCACTGCTCTAACATCTTCCCACCACATGGCACAGCAACTTCCAGAGTGCCTCCTGGCACCAAGAGCCACAGATTTGTAAGAGGAAGCCTCTTCCAGTAGGAAAGAAAGGCCACCAGAACTGAGCCAACAGACACTGCATACATGCCCACAGCCTTCTGGGAGCCAGCTTTCCACAGATGCTCCAAGTGTGCCATGGTGTCTCCTATGGGTTACGGACATGGGTCTCTCCTAGCATGCCCCAAGCTCAGCATAAACCAGAACAAAGCCGGCAGGATTTTAAGCAGGCCTTAGCCTCAGGCACCTCTTGCTGATTAAAAGACAGCAGCCACAGCCCAAAAACATTTGGGCATCAACAGCGGTATGAACAAAACCAGCAAAACACCCCTAAACAGCACAGAACAGCTCAGCCACAGGTACAAGGTGCAAAACCAGCTCACTCCTTGTTTCCTCCTCTGTTTCTCAGGCTTCACATCATCCTCTATGATAAGTTCGATGCCAGCTTCACTTCGGAGCACCTCTTTCAAGTCTTCTTCCAGGTGAGGAGTCTGGGGCTGGTGTGAAAAGGCAGAGAGAAAACATAAGACAGTCAAAACCTGTATGCTGCGCATACCCACAGGTATTTCCCTCAAGGGATAGTAGGGTTAGAGGAGCACACAGTGGGAGAACACAACTTATTTACTTCCCAGCTGGAACAATGAGATTTCTGCTAGCCTGACAGATTTACAAGATCTCCAAGCATGAGAGACTCCTACCAGCTGAACCCCAAAGCACCATCAAGAGACCAGTATGCACAAAAGGCCTGAAATGCTGGAAACTGCCATCCCTACAACACTGACATTAGGAGACCCAGTTCGTCTGGGATGCCTAGGTAGATTGTTTCCTTGGTTTCCCTTAAGTTCATCAGTAGTATAGCACTGCAGCCTGATTCAAGGGCAGGTTTGGGCAATTTTAGCTGCTTTACAGAGGAGCTAAAAGTCCTGTGGCTACTCACCAGGACATGTTCACCATGACAAGGTCCCCCTCATCCCTCCCACCTCAGCTTGGCACTACTAAACTGCTCTGTTACAGCACAGTTAACAGCAAGCTCACAGCTCTGCTGCAACCTACCCCATGTCCCCTTTGCATTCATTCTGCTTCTGCCATCAGCAAGGGGCAGACCCACCCAATAATTACCAGAGGCCTGATTGGTCCATATTTCTCCAGGGCATTTTTGAAAGGTGTGGGGGTGTGAGGTGTGCTGTCCACCACATACTTCTGATCTGGTGTAACAAACCTGGAAGCAGAAAAGACACAGGATCAGGCATGCTGTAACCCACACAAAGTAAACCTGTCCTTCCGAGCCTTGTCATGACATGAGCCGCCTGCAGTCTCATGTGGAAGGAGCAGCAGAAGCCATCCTGACCTGGCTGGACTGTCCCTGGGCTGCAAACAGGGCAAAACAGGAGCTTTCAGTAGGGAAAACAATCCTCCAGACATGTCAGCTCTACTGCTCCATCCTACCAGCTACAAAGCACCCTTGCCCTAAAGCAGTATACATCCTGACACAGGCAACAGCTCAGCAGCCCAGCCTTATTCTGCACTGCTTGTGCAGGTGAAGCTGCTCAGGTGCTACTTGGGCTTGTGACAGCCAGAGCTGGATGAGCAGAACTCCTGGGTGTGAATGCACTGAGAGCAGCTCAGCCAGTTCATGTCACCTGGATGGGGAAGCTGCTCTGGGCCATGCCAACAGCAGAGTGGTTTTGCTAACACAACCAGCACCCCCTAACACTGTGCTGCTTCAGTCCACCAGCAAAGCATCACCTGTGCAGACCATCCCTTCTCACCCCCCTGGTACAGTGCCCTGGGTAACCATCGCCCTAGAGTGCCCCTCAGGTCAAGCAAATCAAAGGCTGCAGAGCTCAAGGGATGGATCTTAACAGCTCTTGTTAAGGAAGTCAAAATCCCTTCCCTGCTGGCACACAGGGAAGGAAGCAGGGCTCACAGCACAGCAGCGTTTCCCAAACGAAGGCAACACAGAAGGCAACAACCCACCCAGCAGCCAAGCACAATGGCGGTTACTGGGCTATTGCTTCAATCAGCCTGGACACTCGATCCCTGCAGTTCAGAGAAGAGCAGTCTCTGGGGGAAATGCTGCCTTAAGGAAGTCCCCTGGCCCTCTCTCAGCTGTGCCAGTACAAGTCTGCTTGAACTGGACCAGACTCCTCTGTGGAAAAGGACAATGGCCAAGAGAGGAGGAGGAAAGGACTTACGCCGAGTTCTTCTGGAGCAGAGGGGTCTTGTCCCTGTGCAGAGGAGTGGTGACGATCACCTTCTGACTACACACAGGTGTGGAAGTCAGAGATGGGTTCTCCAGTTCAAGTGTATCCTGTTTGGTCCAAAAGTTTAAGAACTGCAAAGCACAGGAAAGAGAAGATACTCAGTCTCAAGCATTCCAGCATAGTACCACCAGTCATTACTTTTTCCTAAATACTGGGGAAAACCTGAAATAGGGACAATCCTCCCATACTGAGTGGCAGAAGACCAATCAGTCCCAGTATAAACCTTGATGACTCTCACAGTCCTGTGCATGGATACACATGTGAAAGTTGCCAGAAGGTGCCTCACACCTCTAAAGGTTATTCACTTCCCAAAAGGGATGAACTGATACAACTACAAGCATCTATAAGGTGGGAGAAAAATCTCTCCTTGCACTAGTCCAGATACAGCCAAGCAAAATGGTGAAGGAGGAGTAAACCCAGCCCACCAAAGGTCTGTTCTGGTCTCAGGCTGACAAATGGGAAGGAAGACACAAGCGTGGACACAACACAACAGCATTCAAGATAACAGATTTTGAATTGAGACATCTTCAGCCTCAACTGTGAGAAAACTACAAACTATCTCATCCCTGCTGGGATTTTACTTCATGACAGCTAAAAAGTGACAATTTTACTCCCATAAGGGATGAGGATTGTACCCAAGAACCCATCAGGAGAGAAGAGCTCTATGTATTACATTTATTGATGGCAGAAGCTCAGCCTTAGAGGCAGGCTATGCCGTTTGCCTTCTCAGATTTAATTGAGGCATTTCACAATCTACAGAGCTGCACATTTCAGGTACTGCTATGATATCCCAGTTCTTGTTGGCTTTGCATTTGAGGTCATAGAATCTCAGACTCATTTAGGTTGGAAGGAACCTTAAAGCTCATCCAGTTCCACCCTCTGGCAGGTTCAAGCCATTCCCCTTGGCCTGTCCCTACAGGTCTTTGTCCCAAGCCCCTCTCCAGCTTTCCTGCAGCCCCTTTAGGCACTGGAGCTGCTCTAAGGTCTCCCCTTCAGGAGCCTTCTCTTCTCCAGGCTGACCCAGCCCAGCTCTCTCAGCCTGGCTCCAGAGCAGAACTGTTCCAGCCAGCTCCACATGCCTCTTGTGTTGGGTGGCCACAGAGCTGGACACTGGACTGCAGGTGGCCTCATCCTCAACACAGGTGTCAGACTGCCCTTTGGTACTTTCCCATGTACTGCCCTGGGCTGCAGAAACTGCAGAAATAAAGGCACGGGTAAGCAGGATCTGAATAACAGAGCAGCTGTGGGAACTGTGCTGGAGAACACAACGGTCTTTATTCTGTTATATAGACAGAACTCCACTATATCAGTACGTGAGACAGTAGTGGGTTTGAACACCACAGTGCTCAGAGATGATGCATGTTGGGAGAAAGGCTGGACCCAGTGATCTTGAAGATCTCTTTCAACCTGGTTGATTCCGTGACTGTTCACCACATTTGTGTGGAGTCATGACAAAGGCTGAATGATCAGAGTTCCTTTTGCAATGAAGACAAGATCAGGAGCATTTTCCTGAGCACAGCAACACAAAGATCTGCACGAGGCACATGGTGCTGAGCCTGCCTGTGTGACTTCACTGGAAATAAACAGGGAAAGCCACTTGTCACTGTTGCCACTCTGCTAACCACAGCTAGGGCAGCATTGCCCTGGGGACAAAAGCACCCCTGGGACAGAAGCAATCCCGCAGTGGGCAGGCATGTACATCTGCACGGTGGTGATTCTTTATCATAGTGAGCACATGCCCTGCCCACCACTCAGGGTGGCTGAGCCTTCCTGATGCTGCAAGCACTCGCAGAGGCAGGCATAAGCTGCTGCTCCACAGGAAGGGCAGCACTTAAGACAAGCAGTACCAGTATCCAGGCTCTACGTCTTGTTTTAGCAAAGAGACATATGCTGCACACTAGCACTGGCTCAGTTCAAGGGAGGAGAAGCACAAAACTGACAGAGCTGATGGGAACACACAGTATTAAGGCAAGTAGACAGAGCATTAACACGCTTATTAGCTCACAACCAAGCCCAAGCAGAGGAGCAGCTCGACTGAACTCTGCCACGGCTCCATACCTGAGATGGAGAGAAGGGCAGTGTCTTGACAGGGGTGCTCTTCGGCGTCATACTGTTGCAGGAGTCAAGGAAGGAAAGGCTGGTGCTGGTGACGTTCTCTGTGACTGGGGAGAGCATGATCTTCCTCTTCTTCTGCCTCTTCAGCACAGAGGGTGGCGTGCCAAAGCTCACCTCTGCATGTGGTGAGATGGGGATGAGCTCCCCTTTGCTGCTTTTGCTGAGGTCAGAGATGGTGTGGCCATCCAGGCGGTATTCGGTCACACTGGGCAGGGACGACGTTGGTTTGCTGGGGGTTTGCCTCACTGGGCTGCTGCTGCTGCTGCTGCTGCTGCTGGCAGAGGGTTCCTCAGGCAGGTCAAACTGGGTCAGATCACACCACCCATCTGGGTCCTGCTCACAAGGGAAATCATCAGAAGCAGCCCAGGAAGGAAAGCTGAGCAGATGGTACAGATGCAGATACGAACTGGGAGGTGAAATGAGTGAGGTGGCGGGAGTGGTGTGAGATTGCACCAGCTTTTGCAATAAGCCTGGCTAGAGGAGAGCTCAAGCCCTCTTCTCTGCTGCCAGCACAGCTGAGAACATGAGCAGGGAACTGACCCAACTGAAAGCTGCTGCCTGTGCATAGAGCAGGTTTTTTCTATTTACAGAAGGTTGGTTTCCCAGTTCAGTTCATAGCACAGCTGCACAAACAGCTGCTCCCACACACAGAGGGGACAAAGAAGCTGGGAGTAACTCTGGGGACAGCAGCTGAATGAAGTGACTGTCACCTAACACCAAATCATGGTCTTTGGCACATCAGCACAGCTGGACACAGGGCTCAGCTGAAAGCAGATTAAAAATAACCACACCAGTTCAGAGATCATCTGCTTCACAGCTCAACCCTACCAACAGCCAATGTACCATTCAAGCAGGCCCCTAAGGACCCCCAGATAGGCCATTAAGCCTTGGGAAAGGACTCTCAGTCCTCCTGTACAGATGCAAAACGTATCCTTCAGAGATAATCAGCTCATAAGCTCCTTAGGCAGGCTAGGTGCTTCAGAGACATCTTCCCTCTGAGGGCAGCAAAGTGCTCTGTTGGTTCTAGCCAGCCTCACTTCCTGACATGCCTGTCACCCTAGGGACCTCCAGCACTGCTTGACTGGCCCAATTACTAGTTTCAGTAAAGCTACCTCCACTGAAATCAAATGGTGTCATCATCCCAGTGTGAAGGAGTCTGTCCTGCACACTACAAGTGGGCCTGGCCCACTCCCAGTCTGTCCTGTCCTATCTCATCCCATAACAGGAGGAAAAGTAAAGCCAAGAAGCACAGGCCCGAACCGTTAGGAAAGGGAGAGCTGGGGACACTGCCTGATAAAGGAGGGTTGAGATCAGGTTTACCAGCATCTACAGCCTTCCACGTCAGCAGAGCCCAGGCACAAGGACATCAGCCTAGGAGAATCTGCAAGCCCAGAGCAATACTCACAGAGCTGGGAAGGCCTAATCTTGTCCTAGTAAAGAGACAGGGCTCACAGCACACAGTGGGAAGCCACAAGCCAGTGACAGACCCAGTCCTCCTCAGGATGCCTATGGTGATGAGCAAGGGGAGAGGATGAAATTCGGTCTTTCAACATTGCCTGGAAAAGCACGGATTGTTACTTACAGATTCAATCATGTCCAGAGCTTCATTGAAGGCTGGTCCAGATGCTGGGTACAAACAGTTGGCAGCTTCGACAACCCATTTGTATGGCGATGTGACAAGCGAAGAGGCATCCTCAGGCACCGCATCATCTGGGGTCCCCTCAGCATTATGCTCTGCCAGTTCCGTGGCTGGCAGCTCTGAGTGCAGCTCCTGTACACCCGCCACTTCGTCGTCACTGACGTCCTCTTCCTTTATTTCAGAGATATTGACTGGCCAGTTGGGCAGGATGCTCTTCGCACATACAACAAAGAAGTCCAACTTTTAGTACAAACTAAGGGAATAAATGTCCTAGGGACAAAGAGCAAGGGTCCCTGGACACATTCTGCTCCACCTGCTTTCCCACCAGCCATTCAGTTTGTCTCCCATCCCTATTCTTCCTCACTGCTCTGTCCCACACACCATTCAAACAGAAGTCCATAAAGGATAAACATGTTTAAGGTTTTACTTAACAGTATCCCAGGAGAAAGTTAAACATAGGCTAAGCAGGCAGCACTAATTCTGCACTTCCTAATTCCCAAGAGCCCGCCCGGGGAAAACTACATATTTTCTTCATGAAAAAGGTGTACTTTCCCTGCTTCACTTTTTTTAGCGGAAAGGAACAAAACACCTCTTCATCATACCTCCCCCATTGTCTGGGGCAGCCTCCTTCTTCCACCAGCGACAGCACTACTGGGCCAAAACAAAAATAATCTGTCTCTGAGACAGTTCTGATACTGGAGTTGGCAAGATACCAGCACTAGCAGACTGCTGTTCTCCGCCTGGATAACACACTCAGGCTTACATTACACCTCTGGCTCCTGGAGGGAGAGATCTCCCAAGAGCCAGTCTCTTAGAAAAGGCTGGGAGAAGGCACAGACTATTTCTGAAGACACGAGTCTGTGCCAGAGGCAACGTGGGAGGCAGGAGGAACAGCTCTGATCTACATTGGCAGAGTAGGGGACTGGCCCAGGTGCATGCTGCATAGGTGATGGTGCAGTACCTGGCTCCCAGCTTTTGTTTGACTTTGGCTCTCCTTCTCATCCACCTCCACAAGCAAGTAGAGTGACCTGGACTCCTTAGTTTCATTGAGGAAGCCTCCTGTGTCTACCTTTCGCTTGATGGTGGAGTTCCAGTGATTTTTCACAGCATTGTCGGTCCTACCGAGAGATCAGAAGGAAAAAAAGTCACCATTTACAGCAGCTTTAAAGCACAGCTAACAGCTCCTACATGCTCTCCAGCACCATCCTTGAGCTCAACACATGGATTTCCACAGGCCACCCAGCTGCGAAGGCACCAGTGAGCAAAGAAGTCCTACCTTCCAGGCAGCAGCTTGGCAATCTCCGCCCATCGATTCCCCAGCACCTTGTGGGCCTCAAAAATGATGCGATCCTCCTCCTCTGTCCACGAGGATTTCTTCACCTCAGGGTTTAGGTGGTTATGCCACCGTTCCCGGCACTGCTTCCCTAACCGCCCTTTCAGGTGCTTGGCTATCAGGGTCCATTGTTTGGTGCCGTACTTTTTAACCAGCTCAATTACCTTTGAAGAGAGCGGGAGGAAAATAAGGAAATGGAGTAAAGGACGGGAAGTTCAATACAGCTATCGTCAAGCTTTGCTCTTCACCTCTCTTAGGACCAGGTAGAGCCAGTCAGAGAAAGGCCCCATTGGAGAAAAAGCTGGAGGGAACCAGCACTGACAATCAGATGTACCAGCATTTGAGAGAGCAACAGTTCAGCCAAATTTCTAAAAGAGGCTGTTTCCATGCAGACGTTTTGCCACATGGCACGTGTGAAGGCAGAGGACTGCTCACAGAAGATGGGGTGGAGATGGGGCACCAGGGGCAGAGGGCACCACATGTAGAAACACAAGCCCATTTCTGAGCGAGGGCCAAGTCCCATGTGCTCCAAGGCTCCTCTGCCCTCCCTCTTACCAAGGACAAGGCCACATGAACACAGTCCCCCACCAGCTCTGCCCTAGTCTGCCCACTGGGCGCAGCCTCCCTCTAATAGTGTGCTACAACAAGGACATGCCAGGGCTGCAGCTCCATGCCCTGCTAGCATCAGGATGCACAGAGCCATGCACTTTATCACTTCTGCTTGAGGCTCAAATGCAAATACTTCTGAGCACAGAATCTGTTCTGAGCCCCTGCAGTATGTCCACAGCACAGTCAGGATGAAACAATTTACTGCCTGCAGTGCTCTGCCCACAAAAATCATAGAACCATAGAACGGTTTGGGTTGGAAGGGACCTTAAAGCTCATCCAATTCCAACCCCTGCCACGGGCAGGGACACCTTCCACTGGAGCAGCTTGCTCCAAGCCCCTGTGTCCAACCTGGCCTTGAACACTGCCAGAGATGGGGTAGCCACAGCTTCTCTGGGCAACCTGTGCCACTGTCTCACCACACTCATAGAGAAGAGCTTCTTCTTAATGTCTAATCTCAACCTTCCCTCTGTCAGTTTGAAGTCATTCCCCTTTGTCCTGTCACTACCACCCCTTGTCCAAAGTCCCTCTCCAGATGTCCTGTAGTCCCCTTTAGGCACTGGAAGACTGTTATAAAGTCTCCCCAAACCTTAGAGAAGAGGCTGAAGAAGTCTCAAAGAGCATTTGTACTCTGGCCAGCTGTGCTCAACTGAAAGGTGCAGGTACATAGGTGATGCCCACAGAACTTTTAGCTCGTAACAGATGTCCTTATTTCAGACTCTTGACTATCAAGCACAGAAAGATGGACCAAAGACACCAAACTGAGGCACAGGCACAGGAGCTGGAGTGCTTGCAGGGCAAAGCAATATGCTGAGTCCAGGGAAAGTTGAAGCCTGGCCTGACCAGGATGGGTAAGGTGGCAGAGTCAAGATACACAAAGGGAAGAGCAAAGTGGGCAGCAACAGCTCTGCTGTAGGAAGGTAGGAGGACATCATGAGAAGCTTCCCTACGATGTGCTTAACATAACACACAGATGGGATGCAAGGTGGACAGTAACAGCCTGTAACGGGATTAAAAGGGAAAGAAACAGGGGAGCAGAAGTGTTAAAAAAGAATCTGCCAAAGTAGGACATTTAGCAGCAAAAAACCTTGGTAGAAGTTAGAATTCATTCCAATTTCTCTTAAGCCTATCAAGATCAGTCTGTCTGAGATGGCCCTCTCAGTTCATTCTGGAATCAGCAGAGAAAGAGGCTTACAGAAGTCACAGTTCATCTAGCAGGCCTACTGAGGCACAGGAAATAACAGTTTTCTTTTCTCTTAGATCCAACACGGCCAGGTCAGGTGGAGATCTGCCAGCAGGCAGATGAATTAATTCCCTTTTCTGCTCCCTCACTTGGTGGCCTACTGTACCAGTACCGTGCGTGAAAGGAAGATGTTTAGCTGAACAGGCCTAGACCTGCTCTTGCACACTGCAGCCACGTTTGCATTAGGCTGCCCAGAACAAGTCAGTGCCGCTTTAACCGTCACCCACCCTTGGAGGAAACTACGCACACTTTACTAAAAGACCCAAGGGTCTTTCACCTCCTTCCTCTCCTCAGAGAGTCACAGTCCAAACAGTCAGATCCTCTCAGCCCTGACTTACCTTTTGGTCCTCCTCTTTGGTCCAAGGGCCCTTAACCAAGTCTGGATTCAACACTCGCAACCACCGGTACTGACACTGCTGATCACTGCGGTTCTAGAAGTCACAAGAATAGCCACGTGTTAGACTGGAGGCTCCAACAACATCTAAAGCAATTGCAGACTCCACACACACAGGCTGGCCCACAGAAAGCCTGCAGAAGCACATGGAGAATACATACTATGACTAGGGCACAGAAGCCTCAATTTCTCACCCCACCTCAAACAAACTCGCCTTTGAAAGGCCTCTATACAAGAAAGATGTCTCCCCCCTCTGCAGGAGCAGCAACTCACAGCCTAGGGCTTCAGTCACAGAGCAGAGTTCCACTGTGCAAGGTGCTCCAGACACAGAGAACCAGCAATGAGCACAAGAAGCAACATGCAAATACTGACATTCCCATCTGAGAAAGGGGTCACTTACAGGAAAGTGACTGGCCAGGAACTTCCAGTCATTCTGCCCATAATGTCTTACTAACATCTTCAGCTGCTCATCCTGCAAAGAACAAAGACATCCACTAAGGCAACACACAACGCAGGCACCCTTGGGCTGACAGCATCAAGAGAATGAGCTAGATCTTTTGAATTGTCAAGAAGGGATTTTTTTTTTGCGTTCTGCATTCAGAGGACAAAGGTAGCTTGCCCCATCCTTTAGCAGTGCTCCAGTACATGGAACCCAACTGGAATACACTGTTTCTGGACTCTGTACTAGGGTGAGCTCATACAGTGAGTAAAACGAGATCAGCTCTGCTCTAGTACAGTCTGGTCCAAATCCTGTGACCAAGCCTACCTGCTTATCCAGCCCCAGTACAACCCTGACCAGACAGTTCATTTCCCAGCTCAGCCACTGCTCTTGCCTGGCCAAGACAGCTAAATGGTTAAAGTGTAGCAGCACCAGTCCAGTGGTTTACCATCTTTCAGCACTTTGGGGCTCCACAGCATTTCTTTTACAAACCTTGTTAATAGTCCAGGTATGGGGTACAGCTCACAAAAAGCTTGCTCTAGGTGCCTTGCCTGTGTGCTCCAGCTGGGCAAATACAGGCACGAAATTACTCCCTGTCCCAACATGAGCCCAAGGCTTTGATCCCTGCATAAAGACCACCTTAACTGGTGTTCATACCGCAGAGGAAACAGGACATCTTTCAGTTTTCACACAGAACAAATATGGAGGATCTGGGAGGACAGAAGAGAATATCCCAATTAATTTCAGGCTCTCAGCCAGGATGACTAAGCCATGATCCCAGTAGTCTCAACATTCCCTTCTTTTGCTAGAAAAAAGGGAGAACATTTTCACATTCAACTTGCTGGAGGTCTCAGCCATCCCTCAGAACCTCTCTGCTGACCAGAGTGCTGCAGGCAGGAGCTCCCTTGCTCAGGGCTCACAAACTTAAGCTAAAGCGGTTGGTGCTGCTCTTGCTCTCCAGGCTACACTTCAAACACCCCTGAGTCCCTGGCCTCACTGAGACCTCAGCTCACACCAGCAGAACAGACACAGGGTCTTCTCCAGTAGCAAGACAGCAGGAGGTGGTGTCACGGCTGGCAGGTGAGGACTGGGGTGGAGGCACCCAAGCCCAAGATGCCATGTCAGAGGTACCTACTCTCAGCCAAGCTCTCACTCACCTCTTCTTGCGTCCACTTGACTTTACACCTGCCATCCCGCTGCTCTGGCACATCCTGGTCAGTGTCCTGGCAATGCAGCTCATCCAGGTCCTCACTGAAGATAAATAAATGACAATTATAATTATCAGTTCTGATAAAAAGGCAGCAGAGCTCCAAGAGCAACCTGCACTTCCCAAAGCAGAGCCCTGGATATATTCTCTTCCAGCAATGAGCCCCAAACACCTCACATTGACACCCAAGTTTAAAGCAGTCCCTCAGCTTTGGACTCTTACTGTACACCAGCAGTTTTTATGCTGCTGGGAGCAGGGGAAGGCACATTCATCTTGATTTCCTTCCCCTTCTGCCTCTCTGGAAAGGCTTTTCACCGACGGACTGGCACCATTTCCCCACCTTACAGCTCACCGATCTCCCGGACTGCTGCACTAAAGAAAAGGGACAGGCGCAGTGCACGCACGCACACACACACACTCCTCCCCCGAGCTCTGTCCATCGCCTGCCCTACCATGGGGGTTAACGCCAGGCCTGCACTCCGCTCACAGACAGAGCCAAGCGGAGCCTTTAGAGCGGGCCCTGAGGAATAGAGAGGCCGGGGTGCGAGGCCGCGGCCCTGCTGCAGCCCTGCTGCAGCCCGCGGCCCCGCCGGAGAGCGGGACCGGTCCGCCCGGGGCGGATGGCGGCGCGGAGCAGCGCAGGAGGCGGCCGAAGGGCTCCGGGACAGCGGCACTCACCCACGGCCGCGGCGGGACATGGCGGGGCCGGGAGGCGGCGGCGGCGGCAGCGGCGGCAGCACTTTCCTATCTCGCGCCAACGGCACCACCCCGCCGCGCGGGGCCGGGCCGCGCATGCGTACTGCCACCGCCCGCCCGCACAAAGAGGCGCGCGCGGAAGAGCGCCCGCCCGCCCCATCCCCGAGGAGCTCCCCGCGGCCCTAGAGCCCGCCCCGTCACCGAGCACCCCAGTGCCTCTTCCCTGGGATAGGATTCCGCACCTCCCCTCCCGACAAGATCCGCAGCAGGTCTCCAGGAACGCGGTTTGGGGTGCAAAGGGAACCCCTCAGGACGTGTCCTGGCTTAGCTCCAGGAAGGGGTTTCTTCCCCATGGCCACCCCATGTCCTCACCGCGGGACCCCCGGCAGCTGCTGCCTGGCCCAAATCGGACAGAAAAATAAGAATCAAGCACCTCCTGCACCCTACTCCGGAAGTACTGCTTCCTCCGGGGGCGCGCTCCGGGCTCAGCACAGGCCTGGCATGTCCTAGAAGAGAGGAGAAGCAGTGCAGGAAAGCGCAGCTCCGCCCTGGCCCCGCGGCCGGCAGCGGCACTGCTACCCTGTCACTGTCATGCTGGCACGGAGTGTAGGCGCAGCTCCCCGGAGACAGCCAGCCCTGAACACCCCACGGCTTCGCACACCTGCATTTTGGAGTTCTGCTGCTCACATGCTGCCTGTGCGCACAAAGCACACACCACAGCCAACATCCGTGTTCAGCCTGCATGCATGGATGCTCCCAGCCACTGCTTAAGGGCAAACAAAACAAAACTTAAGAGAGATTATACAGTTAAAGACTGGTTTGTCTTGGACGGGACCTTAAAGCTCCTCCAGTCCCAACCCCTGCCACAGGCAGGGACCCCTTCCACTAGAGCAGGTTGCTCCAAGCCCCTGTGTCCAACCTGGCCTTGAGCACTGCCAGGGATGGGGCAGCCACAGCTTCTCTGGGCACCCTGTGCCAGCGCCTCAGCACCCTCACAGGGAAGAGCTTCTGCCTAAGAGCTCAGCTCAGTCTCCCCTCAGGCAGGTTCAAGCCATTCCCCTTGGCCTGTCCCTACAGGCCCTTGTCCCAAGCCCCTCTCCAGGTTTCCTGCAGCCCCTTTCGGCACTGGAGCTGCTCTAAGGCCTCCCCTTCAGGAGCCTTCTCTTCTCCAGGCTGACCCAGCCCAGCTCTCTCAGCCTGGCTCCAGAGCAGAGCTGCTCCAGCCCTCGCAGCAGCTCCGTGGCCTCCTCTGCACTCGCTCCAACAGCTCCAGGTCCCTCTTGTGTTGTTGGCCCCAAAGCTGGATCAGGACTGCAGGACCGGGAGTCTCACCAGAGTGGAGTCACTTGTGGACCCTGCCTGAGTGCTGGTCTAGGGAGGAAGGTTCTGTGTGTCATCATCCTTCTGCTGCTGCTGCTGCAGCAGCAGATGACCACAGGCCATGGGCACGCTCCTCTACTCTCCAGGGCTAGTCAGTGATGAGCTACAATAAACCAGGCCCTTGCAGGAATCTATCCGCCTCTAGCAGTTGGCCATGGCCCACCCTCACTGCCCCTGAGCTTAAAAAGAAGCAAACAAAACCCCCTCATTCTCCCATACTAGCTTAATCAGGCAATTAGCCTGTTAATGAAGTACCAGAAATATAAAACCACTTTAAATAACACAGGTAGTAAAGGATCAAAGTTTTGAGGAGTGTTTCTGTAGAAGCTGGGGGTAAGCAGTGCTTTTTTAGTCCATTCTTTTGGTATGTAGCTTTCATTTCTCTAACATTTCTCACAACCTGATTTATTTAAGTTACCTTTAAGGGAAAAAGTACTTTAGCTTTTTAAAGAAAACTTTCCTTCTTTCTGACTATACATCCCTCCTTTGCAGTAAATTTAAGAGCTTTTTATTCTTTTAATGTGTTCAGCATAAAAAATGTTTTTGGACTGCAGTGGCTGTCTTCTCCTCCCATCACCTTTAGTGGTGCCTGGAAAGCAACTGCTGGCTGAGCTGGTGGTGAGAACCTCCACCCCTCCCAGGTAGAGGGGGAGCAGTGCATGGCATGGGGCCTGCCTGGAGGACCTGTCCATGAGGACCTCCCTTGGTGCCCTCTATGGGCTGTGAGACCCCTTCAGGTCTGGAGGGGTGGTATCATGTAGGGGACTAAGGGTAAGATGAAAGCTGCTCCTCAGCCTCTCCCATCATAACTAGAGCCTGGGTTTAGCCCCTCCTGCAAAGGGACTTGAGGAATGAGGAAAAAGTGCCTTAATTCTGGGGAAAACCGGCCCCCTCTTAGTACCACTGATGGGTAAACAGGTTTACTGAGACTCTCTATACCTCATATAAAGCTAAAAATAGTGGTATATAGGATGAGGCTGAATGAATACAACTCTAGGGAGGCTCAGTTACGACCTTTACGCAATAAGCAGGCCGTGGTGCAAATGACTCGCTCTACAAGACAGTGACAGGCCAGATGACCACTACCTATCCTGGAGCCTGCTCAGCTCCTTGATCTCCAAAGCAATACTGAGACAGAGTGGTCCTGCTACTCTAAGCGTACACTTTGTTAGTGAATGGTAATGAACAGTAACCTCTTTGTTCTGACAGGGACATGCTGATCTCCATAAACCTGACAGCGGTGAGATTCTGCATCATGCTGTCCACCAAGAAGCACGGCACCAACATCCTGACCATAAAGGAAATCCTAGAAAATGTGTTTGTGGCAGTACCTTCCAGCCATACCCATTCTTCTCCTGCCTGCACTTACTACATGGACTCCAGCAGTGCTTCCAAACCAGACACATGGGAGCTTCCCATGGACTTGGGCAACATAACAAAGGGCAGTTCTCTGTGTGTTGTTAAGCAGTTGGAGTCTCTGAGCAGCTGTGGGAAGTGTGACCTGCACAGCCTGACCCAGGGCATCTCTGACCTCAGCCTCACCTGCTTCTGCAAGCACCCCCCCCGGGAGGCTGCCTTTGACCTGTCCACTTTGCCTGGGGAGCAGCACAGCAGAGCTGGCTGCCTCATGGATGAGGTGAAAGCATTCAAACCCCCTGGGGAGCCTGCTCTCCAAGAGCACGGAGCTCAGCAGTGACCTCTCAACCCCTGGGAAGCTGCCAGCACCAGCGTGGGAGATCTCAGCAATAAAAGCCCCCCTGGATATCAGCCTGTCCCTGGATGCGAGTACCGAGGACCTGAGGCTCCTGGGATGCTCTAGCCTGGACACACCATCCCTGGAGACCTCTCTGGTAATTCCTCTGTCTTGGCCTGGTGCCTTCAGGAGGCCACCCGCATTGACCTGCACATCTGACACCCCCGACCCCCAGCTGAAGCATCTGGACCCTGTCCCTGTGTTTCTGCACCAGGCTCCATGAAGCTCCCCCGGCTCCTCGCTGCAGTGGTGGCCTGTGGGGTGACTGCCCGTGGACCCGCCCGTCCTCCCCGACCACCGACCTCTGTATTAATGCAGTAAAGCTCTGAGCTTCACCCCGTGCCGGGTCTCTGCTGCTCCTGGCCTAAGGCTGAGCTCTGCTGAACGTGGATGCTGGGCCGGCTGGGGCCCTTCTGCCGGTGAGCGCAGCGACCTCCAGCACCTTCCCCACCCCTGAGGGGAGCCCGGACGGACCCCGCGTCCCCTGTGCGCCCGAGCCTGCCGCGGGGCCGCCACGGAGCTCCGCGGCCGGCTGAGGAAAGGCAGACGTCGCGACAAGATAGGCGAGCCCCGGGCAGGCAGGCCTCGGCTGTGCTCCCGCGGCGCGGCCCCGCCCGCCGTTACCTGTGAGAGGGGCCCAGGAGGTCCCGGGGAAGGACGGGGACCGGAGCCCGGCGCTGGCCTCCGCCGTCGGGCCATGGCGGCGCTGCCCACGGGGAGCTCGGGCAGGGAGGCGGCGCGGCTGGGGATCCCTCTTCTGGCCGACGGGGAGAAAAGCATCCTGAGCGCCGGGGACCAGCACCGCAGCGGCACCGCAGCCCCGCGCTGCTCGGCACAGGGGAAGCTGCGGCCTCCCGGGAGCAGCCGCGGGCCTCCCTCCGCTCGGGCTCCGCGCAGGTTCATCCTCGCCCCAGCTGCCGGCCCTGGATCGCTCTGCACCGCCTGCAGCCCGGGCTGAGAGGAGGAACCGAGCCCGCCCCAACCGCCCCCCACACGGTCTCTTGCTCTCCTGTCCACACTCCCAGCCACGCACAGCCTCTGCCCGCCGGGCTGCTTCCCTCTCCTGTGGCTGCTTACAATGGCCACAGACCTGGGGAGCTACTTGTTAAAGCCATGGCCCAGGGCCTTTATGGTTTGCTTAAGAATCAATATATGCTGCTCCCTCTTGTAGGGATAGATTAAGAGATTAAGAACAGAACCATCACAGAACCATAGAATGGTTTGGGTTGGAAGGGACCTTAAAGCTCATCCAGTTCCAATCCCCTGCCACGGGCACGGACACCTTCCACTAGAGCAGCTTGCTCCAAGCCCCGTCTAGCCTGGCCTTGAATCACCTTTATCACACTCGCAAACTAACCACTTCTGTTTACCAAGTAACAGTTTAAATACTTCCAGGGAGACAAAGGGATAACTTTGAAAGAGATGCAAGCTATTTCCTCCACATGCATTTCACACTAGAAATTCTGGTCAAAAAAACATCCATTCAGTGAAAAGTCTGTTCTTTTACTTCAGCTGTAAGAAACACTACACATAGCACATGGAGTTGCTTGTATTCTCTGGCTGCCTGGCTGACTTCTTTCTAAACCACATTACAACATCAGGAACAGGCAACAACTCAAGAGAGAGGGCGCAGTATTTATAGTTTGAACTGCTGTCCTGGGTTCAGCTGCAAGTTATTTTTCTCCTTCCTAGTAGCTGGCGCAGTGCTGTGTTTTCAGCTTCAGTCTGAGAACAATGCTGGTAACACACTGATGTTTTTTAGTTGTTGCTCAGTAGCGCTTACCCTGATCAAGGACTTTTCAGTCTCATGCTCTCTGCCAGTGAGAAGGGGCACGGGAAGCTGGGAAGAAGCAGAGACAGGACACCTGACCCAAAGTAACCAAAGGGTATTCCATACCACAGCATGTCATGTCCAGGATAGAAATAGGCAGAGTCACCCAGAAAGCCCAGATCACTGCTTGGGTTTGGCTGGGTACTGATCTATTGGGCATTACTTGTGTTTATTGGTTTCTTTCCCTTTCCCTTTTTAGTTTCATATTCTCTCTCCTTGTTATTTCCCTTACCATTATTATTCGTAGTTTTGTATCATACTCTAGTTATCAGACTGCTCTTATCTCACCCCCTGGGGTTTACATTCTTTCCATTCTCTTCCCCATCCCTCTGGGAGCAGGGGGAATGAAGGGAGGGAGGGAGCAAGCAGCTGCCTGGTGCTGAGTCACAGTCTGGGCTTAAACCATGACACCTATAAGCACCACAGGACAGTACAAACCAGATCCATAAATGAGCAAGAGCATCACATGGTTGGTTGGTTCAGCTACAGTGTTTGGTGTTGAGGGAAAATGAAGAGCATCATGTAAATCTGTGGCTGCAATATACAAAGTATTCTGTGTGACAAACAACCATGGCCTTAAAGAAAAATAAATGGAAGAGAAAGAAATGAAAAATATCAAAGATGCTGCTATGGAAAAGGCATGCCTGCAGTGTAAGAAGGTACAACCACATCTGCTAACCTTGTCTAAACATGTCTCCACTGGTCAGTAACTTCGCTGGCGCTTTGGGACACCTCTAGAAAAACCTGCACCAAGCTGGCATATGAAGCATGAAGCAGTGTAAAATGTGGGATGAATGATGAACACATCTCTTGCAAAAAGCAGTTCTGATGTTAAAAGCCATGGCAGAAGAAGACAAAGCCCAGGTGTTGCAAAGGCCACATAGAAGACTTTTGTGGGGGAGGAGTTTAACAGTTCAACTGTCAGACTGACATCCAAAATGTGTAAAAGTGCAATCTTACAAGTCCTTGCAACAAAGACACTCAGTATTAATGATGTTGACAAACCTTTTGTTCTCACTAATCATACGCTTGGCTCTCTTTTGGCTGTGCACTGAGCTTCAACATTTCATGGTCAATAAATTGCACTTGACTTTCCGCTCTTGTGCATTACCTAGCTCACTATCTCTGGCTAGAGATCACGTAACTGTAAGCAAAAATATTCCTGAGTTTCTGCACAGTACGTTTTCTTAATCCTTTGAATCTTAAGTCTTTTTCATCCAAATGCTGTCCCCCTTCATTTCAAAGCAATGTAGTTCCAGTCTTACGTGAGACAGCGATCTACAATGATATCATTACTGCTTAATTTCAATTCTTCCCTTCTCCTGTAACAAACACACCTCTCCTTGGTTCAGTTTGACAGAGACAACAGGAGATGCCTCAGGGTGACAGACAGGCATTATTATCAGCAGCTCGTGTATTTATGGCTGTATTTTCTTTTGCACATTTCACCAACCAGAACAATCTTTCCCCAGTTAAAGGCTATGTGTACAAACAGAACCCACAGTAAACTTTACTACAAGAAAATAAAAACTAGATCCAGGAAGAAGGAGCCAACCCACATTTTCTTTGTATCAATTTTTTTTTCCCATATATTATAAAATTATAGTTTTAATAAAGAAGTAGAAAAATAGGAAATTACTTGGAAAGTGCTTTCAAAGTACAAGTTCTTCCACAAAAGGCATTATCCAAACTACTACATATAAATTATTCCAATATTCAGCGAACTACTGAGATGGTCCCAATCAATACTGAACATGGAGGTTGTAAAAAAAAAAAAACAAAACCCAAAAAACCCCAAAACAAAACAAAAGTATATTTTTACTAAAATGCCTGTCTCAAACTAGGGGAAGTCACATCTCAGTTACCATTCTGGAATCCAGCTTCACTCGTGTCAGTATCATGTTCCTTAGGAAAGGGAAAAGGAGAAAAAAAATCATTAACAATAGGGTAGAAACTGATCTGATTTTTGACTAAATTAGACTATTTGAGAAACTGAATACTTGTTAGTACAAACGGATGACCTGTTGATATGCTCCAAATTTTGAAGCATCAAACTTACTAAGAATTATTTCTGCACACAGTAGCACCTGTGAGTAACACTGCTGGTTTTGCATCCACACTATAGCACTAGGGAGCGCTGTGATCATTCATGAGGGCACACTGCTTTTACTCCATGCACCACTGATGAACTGTATTTAGCTGAAATTACCAAAACTACACTTGCATGTCTTAATCCTCCAATTAAAATAAATGAGAGAATTAATAAACTGAGCACCACACATTCTGCACAGATCAACAGTCCACACTTCACTGGTCTAATTTATTGTACAATAAACATCTTAACACCTCAGTGTACCTCTTACCTGTGAGAAGCATAGCTGCTACAAAGATGCATCAGCCCAGGGCTGATACTATCAACTATTCACCTGTGATGCTGTTATTGAAAATACCTGGTTCAGTTTCTTAAACTCAACCACTTGGAAAAAGACGTGCTCCAGGATATGCTTGGCATCTTGCTTCTCCTTTGGGAGTTTACTTGTTACTCCTAAGATATCACCACATTTTCGTACATAAAACTCCAGGTCATCATCAGTACCTAAACAAGCATCCCAGAGAAGAAGGCAGTTGAATATCACACATCTCTGTATTAACTGAGGAAAAGCTTAATACAAATCTCTGTTTGGTGTTGGCATTCTGGGATGTTAAGTTCTATAACTAAGGTGAGTGGACTAGCCATGACGTACTCCATCAGTACTACTCCAGCTAGTACCTTCTCATCTTGTTTAGACTTCAGGTGTATTTAGAATAATCTTCACGTTTTAACTTCAAAGCATAAAAATTATAATCAGCAAGTGTGCACAGCAATTCATGCATGATATGGGAAACAGCATCCAGAGGCATAATAAAATGTCGTGTAAGAAACAAAGTAAAAAGGCATGGTACATAAACTCCTATTAGCAATTTCCAAGACCTTCCAATTTCACAGTTCAGAATGATAGTAGTGGATTTTCACAAACGAGGCTCATGGTTTAAAATCAGATATAAAAATTTTTCCCCCAAAATTTGGACTTTCTATAGAAATGTATAAACAATCAGTCTTTCTGCTTACATTTGTTTGTAATCTCTGCAAGACGAGCTTTTTCAGAAGAAAACGTTTCATCCAAGTCAAACAGTTCCAGAGGGGGAGGAGGCAATTCTCTGAAAGCAGGTGGAAAAACCTTGAAGAGAGGAATTCACATGGTTTATTGCCACTTAGATTTAGACTTAGATTGGACTTAAGAAACCTTCTGTAAAGTCAAATGCAACCCCAAAGCCCACAGTACAAAGGGACCCCTCTTTAAAAATTCCATTTATAACTTGTAAAAATAACTGATTATTCCAAAATAGTCACAAGTATGCCAGAGTCATCACCCAGCATCACAACTAGACATACTACATTGGCAGTTTGTTTCCAGTTTCGC